CTCTGTCAAATAAATAAATAAAATCTTTAAAAAAAAAATATTTAGAACTAAAAACAAAGTGAAAATAACAAAAAACAACAAAAATGTTTAGTAGATATATTAAAACTTGAGGATGCAGTAAAAGGTTTACTTAAGGGGAGATTTATAGCTTGAAATACTTACATTGAAACTTAAAAAACGGTTTAAATTCAATGAAATTCCACATAAAAAGAGACAGAACACATTAATGCTTCTGCCAATATGAGAAGATAATAAAAATCAGGACATAAACTAAAAAACAGAAATGTTAGGATAATGAACATCAACAAAGGCAAAAGATGGTTCTTTGAGAAAATAAAACAGGCAAACATCTGGTGAGATCAAACAAGGAGAGAATAATAAATGCAAAAAGAAATAATATTAAGAAAGGAAAAAGGTTATAACTACAAATCTGGAAGAAATCAAAAAAGCTAATGAAAATATAATGAAAAATTTTATGCCAATAAATTTGTTAGCTTCTGAAATGAACGAATTCCTACAAAAATACAATTTATCAAAACTGCTTCACAAAGAAATAGAATGCCTAAATAGCCCTATAATAATTAAAGTACCTAAATCAATAGTCAACAAACTTTCCCTATCCCCTCAGTGAGAGAGAATCCCAAACTCAGATGGTTTCACAAGTGATTCCTCCAGGGTTTCAAGGAATAAACATTCCTCTTATACAAACTTTTACAAAGAGAAAAAAGAGGCAATGCTACCCAACTCATTCTATGATACCAGTATAACCTTGATATCACAAAAACACCAGAGTAGAAAAAAATTACAAGCCAATCATATTGATGAAAACAAAAAATCCAACAACAAAAAAAGACATTAGCAAATCAACTCCAGTGACATAGATAAGCATGAACTCTGGATAGACTCCTTGTGTTAAAATTCCAGCTCCACCACTTTCTAGCTCTATGAACTTGAGCAAGTGTATTTGACCTCTCTGTGCTTGGTCTCACCATTTATAAAATGAGAATAATAATAATCATCATAATAATAATACCTAAATCACAAGGCTCTTATAAAGATTAAATGATCTGATATATGCAAAGCACTCCAATTACAGTGCTATTACATAAATGTTACATATACTGGCATATTATTATTTAGGAGATAATACACATGCAATTTAGGTTTAACCCAGAAATGCAAAAATGGTTTAACATTAGAAAAAGTCTGTCAATGTAATTTACCAAACCAAGTTATTAAAGAACAATCATTTAATTACATCAATAGATATTAACAAATTCCTAGAAATTGGTTGCAATAGTGTACAGAAAAGCACATTTAATAAGTCCAATACCCATTCTTGATAAAAATGACCGCAAAATAGGAATAGAAGATAACTTTCTTAACCTGATAAAAAGTATTACCAAAAACCTACAGAAAATATTATTAGTGGTGAAACAGTAAGGCATTTTCTCTGAAATCAGGAATAAGACAGGGAAGCCTGCTATCACGAGTTCTATTCAACATTGTACTGTGGGTTCTAGCTAATACAGTAAGACAAGGAAAGAAAGAAAGGTCATAAAAACCAAAAGAAGAAACCAAACTGTCATTATTTGCAGAGAACCATAAAGAATCTCAAATATATTAGTACAATTAATAAGAATTTAGCAATGATGCTGGAACGAAATCAGTAAGAAAATATAATTTTAAAGATACCATTTAAAATATCAAAAAATAGAATAAATTTAAAGAAAGGCAAATAAGACATGCATAAAATTTCATGAAAAAACATTTTAAAAGATGTTAAAGATATGGAGAGATACACAATGTTTGTGGATAGAAAGACTATGGGGCTCTAGATAAAATATTTTTATATTTTTCTACAGATAGGCCTTTGTAAACAAATTTTACTGAAACTTGGGGCCTGGGCTAAAAGCAAGCCTTGTAATTTCTGACTAATTTAGCGTGAGAAACTCCAAAGAGATTTAACTCCTGGATGTATGTGTTTATACTTCAACAGAGGTGGGGAGAGAGAGAGGAGCCTGGATCAGGGAGTGATCCTCTTTATAGAGCCTGAGACTCTGGGCTTATCTTTCCACTGAAGTGATTTATTTATATTTCAGAGTCCTAAATCCTTCTCTTTACATTTCCAAGGAGACTCTCAAAAGGGTAGGTGGAGATGAGGGGGGAAGTAGGAAGCATCCACCACTCTCCTATATACAAACACCCTGACTCACTTTTTCGGGGTTCCTCACATTCACAACATAGACTCCATACATGTAGGGTTTTGTCTATCCAGCTCTCATTGCATTGCTACCAGAGGTAAAAATTAGCACACAGAGGAGGGATGTGGTTATTTGTGCTCTACATACATCACAATACTACGTTCTGCTCTTGAAATCTGTGTGTGCATTTGGAATAATATTAATAAACACAGATAGTAAGAACTTAAGTAAGAACTTAGTAAGATAGTAAGAACTCAAAGATTCAATACTGTAATGATGTCAATTCTCCTCAAATTACTCTACAGATTTAATGCAATTTTAATAAAAATCCCATCACAGTTTTTAAGGAATGAGATGTAGACTCATTCATAAATGGAAATGTAATATATGACAGAGGTTAACTTGCACATCACTGTGGAAAAGAGGGGCTATTTAGTAAATGAACAACTGGTTAGATACACAGGAAAAACTAAAATTGGATCCTTATCTCACATGATATGAAAAAATAAATTTCTGGTGTATTAAAAATTTAAAGATGAAAGAACAAACTTTAAAACTTCAAAATAAAAACAGAACACTTTAAAAAAAACTGAGAATTTTTAACCTCAGATTTCTTACACAAGCCAGCAAAACTTTAAAAAGAAAAATTGAAAGACTTGACTACATTAAAACTAAGAACTTCCATAAAGAAAGTGAAAAGACAAGCCACTAACTGGGAGATATCTGTAACACACAACTGACAAAAGATTAATATAGAAATTTTCAAGAATTCTTAACCAACCAATAAGAAAAAGACAAACATCCCAACAGAAAAATATACAAAGGATACTGAGAGGCATTTCACAAAAGAAGAAATATAAATGATAAATGGGCATATGTAAGATACTCAACCTCATTAGTAATTAGAGAAGTTAAGACCTTATAACAAAACATCATTCTAGACCTAAAATATCAATTTCAACTAGGTTGGCCAAAATAATATATCTAGTAATACGAAGTATTGTTGAATAAACACTAGGTGGTGGGAGTGAAAGTATAAATAGGTATAATCAGCGGAAAATGATTTGGCATTATCATAAAAAATAGAATATCTTCATTACTTATGATGCAATTATTCTACTAGTGTTTGTATATGCAAGTGTGTGCATATCAGCATATACATTCAAGAATGTTCATTTACAGTAGTTGCCAAGTATAAGCAACCTTAATGTCTATACACAAAAAATGGAGTAAGTAAATTCTGGAGTGTTCACGTAATAGTATACTATACAGCAACTAAATGAATGCTTTATAGCTATATGGATGAATATTAGAAATATAATGAGTGAAAAAAACAAATTGCAAAAAATTGCATATACCATTTTATAAAGCTCAGAAAAAATCAACACTAAATTATATATATATATATTTTTTTTAATTTCCTATGGCATTAAAAATTCTTTAGCCACCAAGCCACACTATTCCATCATATGAATTGGTCGGGTATTTCAGTTCTTCCTAATATTTTTCTTTTATAAACGTGGTGAGAAATTTCTTGGTGAGCAAATCTTTGAACGTCTGGTTATCTTCTTAAATTTTGACAAATGGAGTTTACTATATCAAGTATTTCAGTATTTTAAGGCTTTGGATACTCTCTGCAAATTAGCTTTCCAAAAATAATATATCAGATTATAATCTCATCTTCAGTATTTGGCACTGGCATTTGTATTTATTTTTATTGAAGTATAATTAACATACAATGTTACAGTAGTTTCAGGTGTAAACACAGTGATTCGACAATTCTATCCATTACTCAGTGCTCACCATGAGAAATGTAACTACCATCTGTCACCACATACATTTATTTTATTATATATGATATATTGTTTAGAGATATACTAATATGTAACAAAAATTTTTCTCAATAAGGAAATGATTGACATAAAATTTAGAACAGTGATTACCACTTTCAGGGAAGTAGGGAGAAAGGGATTAAAAAAAAAAAAAAAAGACCGGCCAGGGCTATGACACAAAATTGGTGATGTTCTATTTCTTAAGTTAGATGGTAGGTTCAGAGATGTGCGTTATATTATTTGCATCAAAACTCATATAATGTTATATTTATTCTTTTAAATGTATCAAACGAAAAATATCTTAAAAGGAGTATCTGCTGCCTGTAAGATATTAAGCAAATCACTCAAAATTCTTTATCAATATGTTTCCTTATAGCACTACCTTCTTCTCAAAATATACTAAAAGGATTTTTAATATTAAAACTTATTAAAATTGCCAAGATATATGTTACTTTATATCTAGATATCAGATTCTCATCCTTTTTATGTTTACTAAGTTTGGCTGAATAATCCTACATTTAAATACATAATAATTACCAATAATATTACTATAATATTATTAAAACAAATAGAACATGTTATAAATTTGAATTATTAGATTGGCCACGAATTTAAATGGGTCTGTACACCACATTGCTTGTAATTGCATTAAGAAAAAAGTAAAAATATACTAATCTAATTCAATTTAACCCTTATATAGTTTTTCTCTTAGTCTTTCTGATTAGCTTCCTCAGCAAAAGGTTATTTGTTTTATTTTTAATTGCCTCCATTTCTTTACTGGCAGCAAGACTTCAAAATCTTCCCCAAAAAGAAATTCAATTATATACTATATCATTGAATACAATTTATACTATGCCATAAATCACTCATTTCTTTATTGTGTTGGCTAGTATTAATTCCAACTTTTTTTTTACTTGTTTATGAAAGGCAAAGTACATACACTGAATGGTTTAGGTAAAGTATTCTTCTCTGGTGCTTGAATATTATTTGCCCTACTGGATGTGTTAGAGAGTCTTTGCTATTAATAAATTTTGTTGATATTCACAAATACTGTTTGAGTGTTAAAGTTCTTATGAAAATAACTTTAGCTTGTTCATCCATGCTTTGAAAGATAAACTGACATTTTAAAAATAATTAAAACACTAAAGAAATTTTTTTATTATAATCTTTTAAGAATGTTCATATCAGCAAATCACAATGAAAATATGCCTACACTTTTAATTTTTCCATAGATACTAAATATGGCTATTTGCTTATTCTTTTTTATATTTTTCAATAACATTTACTTTTAATCAAGTCCTTTGATTATTAACTTTTCAAAAGAACAAACGATTCTGAACTTTAAAATCTTGAGAATATAAAAATTTCTTCATTACTAGCTATTAATCAAATGACATACACCAAAATAATTCTTAAATTTTTAAACCAACATTTTACAGACAAAATATACGTTAGGTTATTGTAATCCACTAGGAAAGCTTTCGGTATACAAATTAAACAAGGTTAAAAATCCAAAAGCAGCTTTAACAATCTATCCATATATTTTTACCTTGTTTAATTCTTCCCTTTCTTGTTGTAGTGTTTTGATTTGTTTTTCATAAGCCTTGACTTGTCGAAAAGTATCATCTAGCTCTCTCCTCACAGAGTTGGCTTCCTCAAGTTGTTGCTCTAAGTGACTTGATTCTAAAAAGAGAAAACAGTGGTTATTTTATTATTTGTATAAAAACAAATGTTTGAAACCAAGGTTTTACACAACCAAATTTTTTAAAAAAATATTTTGTATTTGGTTTTAGGCTTATGGACACCCCATACCACTATGACTATGACTCATGACTCATAACAATTAAATGCTTAGCCAGTTCACTGTAGAGACCTGCATAGCTAATGCCAGTGTGGAGATGTGCAAAACTTATATACAAAAATGCCTCACATTTCCATTAGAAAAAGAAGACCATCAGAACCAATTAAAAGCTTAAAACTAATAAAAATGATAAAACCAACCAAACTGACAGAACAGTGTTTCTCTATAGATGGTTATTAGCATTCATGTGCTGATGTTAGTCAAATTATTATAAGATGGCTGTGCTTCTAGTGGGTGCAGATTCCCAGCCCAGTTTCACTAGTGGTCATTTGAAGAACAAACTGATTTCTTTTTTTTTTTTTTAATTAACATATAATGTATTATTTGTTTCATGGGTACAGGTCTGTGATTCATCAGTCTTACACAATTCACAGCACTCACCATAGCACATACCCTCCTTAATGTCCATCACCCAGCCACTCCATCCCTCCCACACCCCTCCACCCCAGCAACCCTCCGTTTGTCTCCTGAGATTAAGAGTCTCTTGTGGTTTGTCTCCCTCTCTGGTTTCATCTTGTTTCATTTTTCCTTCCCTTCCCCTATGATCCTCTGTCTTATTTCTAAAATTCCTCGTATCAGTGAGATCATATGATAATTGTCTCTCTCTGATTGACTTAATTTCGCTTAGCATAATACCCTCTAGTTCCATCCAAGTTTCATTTTTTTGATAGCTGCATAATATTCCATTGTATATATATACCACATTTATCCATTCATCTATTGACGGACTTCTAGGCTCTTTTCATAGTTTGGCTATTGTGGACATTTCTGCTATAAATACTGGGGTGCATGTGCCCTTCGGATCACTACATTTGTATCTTTGGGGTAAATACCCAGTAGTGCAATTGCTGGGTCATACGGTACCTCTATTTTCAACTTTTTGAGGAACCTCCATACTGTTTTCCAGAGTGGCTATACCAGCTTGCATTCCCACCAACAGTGTAGGAGGGTTCCCCTTTCTCTGCATCCTCGCCAACATCTGTCATTTCCTGACTTGTTAAATTTAGCCATTCTGGCTGGTGTGAGGTGGTATCTCATTGAGGTTTTGATTTGGATTTCCCTGATGCCGAGCGATGTCGAGCACTTTTTCATGTGTCTTTTGGCCATTTGGATGTCTTCTTTGCAGAAATGTCTGTTCATGTCTTCTGCCCATTTCTTGATTGGATTCTTTGTTCTTTGGGTGTTGAGTTTGATAAGTTCTTTAAAGATTTTG